GGCTATTTACTATGTATTGGTTATTTATGTGTCTTCTTTAGAGAAATGTCTGTTCAGATACTTTGCTCACTTTATGTGTGTGTGTTAGTGTTACTCAGGATTGAACCCAGGGTCTTTGCAGTGAGCTACATCCCCAGCCCTTGTTTATTTTTATTTTGTTTTGTTTTTTCGGTACCCAGGATTGAACTCAGGACCTTGTGCTTTTGAGACAGGAGTGGTGCCACTGAGCTAAATCCCCAGCCCTGTTTATTTTTAAATTTTGAAATAGGGTCTCACTAAGTTGTCCAGTCTGAGCTGGACTTGAACTTGTCATCCTCCCGCCTCAGCCTCCCAGAGTGCTGTGATTAAAGGCATGCCCCACTTCACCTGGCTCTTTGCTCACTTTTTAAAAGCAATTTAAAATAAACATTTATTATCTCAGAGTTTTTGTGGGCCAGGAATGTGAGTGCAGCTCCTATGGCTCAGGTTCTCTCATTAGGCTGTAATCAAGAGGTCAATCTGAGGTGCAGTCTCAGCTGAATGCTCAGCTAAGGAAGGAGTCTATCCCAAGCTCACACATGTGGTTTTTATTAGTATGATACAGTTCCTTGTAGGTCTTTGAACCGAGGTCCTCAGTTTCTTGGAGACTATTGCTAAGAGACTACTCAGCTCATTGCCACCACATAGGTGTCTTCCCAGGGCATTCCACAAGGCACCTGGCTTCCATCTGTGAAGCAACTGAATAAAAGCAAAAAGATAGATGGCAGGGTGTTTATTTTTTAAAAAATTAGAGTGTGACTTAGACTTGGGATGACGTGTAAACATTATATTCATCAGAAACAAATCACACGTGTGCTCGTGTGCACACAATAAGAGGACACACACAAACCACACAATAAGTGGGTAGGAAGTAACTTTTGGAGGTGGTAGAAGGGGTTATGGCATAGATTGTGGGGATGGTTTTGATAGAGGGGGAAGAGATGTAACTCCAAACCTACTAGATACCCGAAACACGAGTTCGTGTTCTTTAAAATCGAAGAATGAATTGTAGGAATAACAGAGGTTAAGAGTAGGAAAAATTTATTGAGAGAAAGAAAGCTTCTGCCTAAGAGAGACAGAAGGGGGACCAGAAAGTGGGTTGCCCGCTCACCCCACTTTTCAAAGATGTTTTGTACAGCAAAGCCATGTGGTGAGCCGGGTACAAAGTGGGACAAAACTATAAGACCCAATGGAAACTTACAAGGTGGGCATGAGGCGCGACAAAATCATGACCAACCAGTAAGATTACAAGTACAGTCACCCAGGTAATATTGATTAAATGGGGGTCAAATGGGGGAGCAAGTCATGTAATGTAGCAAGAATACAAGGATTTTTAGTAAGAATGGGGGTTAGGGATATTTCCAAGAGAGGCTGGGTTAAGACCTTGACCCCCACCCCCACCCAGGTGATCGATACCTATTTAGAGCATCAATCACGGCTGTTTATCCCCGGGGAAAGCACAAGGGTGTGTGGTTTCTCTCCTTTTACAATTCTGGCCATCAGTGAATGTGTCTTGATTGTCCTTCGTGTTCTGTTGGCTCCTGAAGGGCTGGTCCTGTCTAACTTCACACAAGATACCTAATTAACTTACCTATCTGCAATAGTTTCATGAGTATATAGTTATTTCCAAACTTATCAAGTCGTATAAATTGTGTATAGCTTTTTATACATAAAAATCAGTTAAAAAAGAAACAAAACCTGAATAAGTTAGTCTGCTCTTACGAAAAGGGAGGGAATACTGGGAATTGGGGATAAACAGTTTGCTTTTACTCACACTTTAATTGGATTGTTGGCTTTTTATTATTTAGTTGTAAGAGTTCTTTATATACTGGACAAAATACGTATACATGACTTATCAGCCATGTGATTTGTAAGTATTTTGTTTTGTGGGTTGTCTTCCTTCTTCCCTCCCTCCTTTCTTTCTTCCTGTCCTTTTCTACTAGGGACTGAACCCAGTGCCTCCTGCATGCTCGGTAAGTGCTCTACCGCTGAGCTACATCTCCAGCCCTTTTTACTTTTAATTTTGAAACAGGATCTTACTGAGTTGCCCAGGCAGGTCTTGAATTTGCAATCCTTTTGCCTCAGCTTCTCGAGTAGCTAGAATTATATGTGTCAGGTAAAAGGGCTGAAAACCAAGACCAGACCAGGCTACACTAAGCCTTTATTAGGGGAATAGATCTGCAGGGCTGTCTCTGAACAAAGGAGAGACAAAAGCAATATGGCTGGGGCAGGGGAGTCTTTTATGGAGACTGGGGTGGGGTTTGTAGGGGCTGAGGCGGGGTTGAGGGAGGTAGTGACTAGGGAATGGAGGAGCCGGTGATGTCACTAGTGGTAGGAGGTGAGCGAGTATTAGGTTACTCTCTAGGCGGGAACAGGGGCATGCTGGGAAGAAGGGTTTATTCTTGGTGGGAGCAACCATCTTGGCCTGACATCACACAGGGGAGGGGGCAAGGCATGATAGGAAGAGGGCAGCTGCTATACATAATAGCTGCTGAGGTAGTGGGAGACCTATCAATATGTGTGTAACACCATACCTGGCCTCTTTTTATTTTCTTGATGTATAGTTTGTAGTGCAAAAGTTTTTAATGTCGTTTGATTTGAAATGGGGTCTTACAGAGCTGCCTAGGCTGGATCTTGAACTCCTGGGGTCAAGTGATTCTTCTACCTCTTCCTCCAGAGTAGCTGGGACTAGAGGTGTGTATCACCTATAGCTGACCCCAAATTTTTAGTTTGATGTAGCCTATGTACCTACTTTTTTTTTCTGTCAAATGTGCTTTGGGTATTGAATCTAAGAAGCCATCGTCAACTCCAGTGTCATGAATGTTTACTTCTGACGTGAATATTTTCTTCTAACAGTTTATAATTTTAGCTGTTAATTAGGCCTATGATCTACTTTGAGTTAATTTTTTGTGACTGGTGTGGGTTACAGATCCAACTTTATTGCTTTGCTTGTGGATATCCAGTTGTTCTAGCACTACTGAAAAGATTATTGTCATTCTATGGAATTTTCTTGCTATTGTTGAAACTCAGCCATAAATGTAAGGAGCTATTTTTGGGCTCTCAGTTGTATTCCACTTATCTGTATGTCCTTATGCAAACACCACTATAGTTTTGTAGTAAATTTTGAAATCAGAATTTTTCTTTTTCATATTGTTTTAGCTCTTCTGAGTTTCTTGCATTCCCATATGAATTTTAGCACCAGCTTGTATGTTTCCACAAAAAAGAAAAAGGCAGATGAAATTTTGATAGAGATTTTATTTAATCTATAGATCATTTTGAGGGATATTGTCATCTTAGAGGTATTAAGTCTTCTGATCTATCTAGTTAGATTTTTTATTTCTATCAGTGTTTTATAATTTTTATTGCACAAGCCTAACAGGTTTAAATTTTAATTATATATATATATATCATTCTTTTTGATCCTATTGTGACATTGTTTGCTTAAATTATATTTTCAGATTTTTTGTTACAAGGGTACAGAAATACAACTATTTTTTTGTATATAGATCCTGTATCCTGCAGCTCTACTGAGCTTGTTTAGTAGCTCTAATAGTTTCTTTAAGAGAGTCTTTAGAATTGTCTGTATACAAAATCACGGCATATGTAAATAGAAATAGTTATACTTTTTCTTTACAGTCTGGGTAATTATCTCCTATTTCATTTTCTTGCTTAATTGTCCTAGCTAGAACCTCTAGTACATTGTTAGATAGAAATAGTAAGTACAGGTATCCTTGTCTTTGTTTCTGATCTTAGGAGCAAAGCATTCAGTTTTTCTCCATTAAGGATGATGCTAACTGCATGTGTTTTATAGAGGCAGTTCCTTTTTTTTTCCCCTCTGTACTGGGAATTGAACTCAGGACCTTGCCAGGCAGGCAAGGCACCACTGAGCTGCATCCCCGCCCCTGAGGCAGTTACTTTCTATTCCTAATTTCTTAAGAGTTTTTTTTTTTGTTTGTTTGCTTTTTTGGCTTTTGAGACAGAATCTCACTTTGAGTGCAGGTTGGCCTTGAACTCACTATGTAGCCCAGGCTGGCCTGGAGCTCACAGTGAACCTCCTGCCTGAGTGCTGGGATCACAGGGGTGCGCCACCAGGCCTGGCTTTCAGGTCCTTTTTAAGCCAGTGCACATCCTTATATTTAATGAGTGAACATCTAGGTCCCAAAGCATGTGTCCATGCCTGTATATGACATCTCATTTTCTAGCTTTTTCTTAAGTATTTTGGTTCCTGTTTGCCCTGTTACTGACAAACACCCAGGTTGGGAGAGAGGGTGTGGGAGCGTAGACTTGTCCCAGTGAGTGAGCTCTGAGGTCAGATTGAAAAAAGCTCTGTAAATGGGGCTTTCAACCACAGGACAGGTTGGGTTCTGCAAGTTACCTGGGAATTGATCTTTGAAGGAGCTTTAGCCCCATTCTGCCAGTCTTTCATAGTGGAAGATTAATTTAGAATAGTGCATACAATACATTGAAAGAAAAATCTGGAAGCAGAGATCAGGTTAACAGTTCTTACCTAAATTTCAGTTTGAGATAATTGCTCAGATTTTGGTTAGTGGCATTGGAATTAGAACTTTTTGACCTTATATCATCAAGAAAGAATTGGTAAATATGTTTATAAAGTAGTTTTTTGTTTTGTTTTGTTTTTGTTACTGGAGATCAAACTCAGGTCCTTGCGCTTATGAGGCAGGCGGCAGAACTACTGAGCTAAATCTCCGGCCCGATAAAGTAGTTTTTTAATGTAAGGTTTATTTCCGAAACCAAAATTCATTGCATGTTTATTGTAAAATATAGAAACACACACAAAATCCAGACTTTAAGAAAATTTCTGTTACAGATTTCTAAATATTATTCAAATTCTGAACCTGAAATTTTATACTTTTTGAATCTGTAATTTCATAGTGTGCCATTCTTATTTAAGTATACTTAAAAATTGATGTTACTGTACTTTAAATTTACAAGTTAATTACATTCTTTTCTTTCCCTTTCAGGTGGATGCACGCAGCATACCAGTGTTAGCAAAATGGCAGAATTCATATAGCATTAAAGTTATACTTCAAGAGCTAAGACGTCTAATGATGTCCAAAGAAAATATGAAGCTTCCACAACCACCAGAAGGACAAACATACAACAATTAGTTTTAGTGGATCCCAAACTTATCTTAAATTAACAACCTTCTACTTATATTAATCTCTTGATTAAATATCACAATGCGAAATACCCACACATTAAGTAAAAGAATTCCAGCTGGTAAACATGACCTGGACATTTGTAAGAATATATTTAATATATGTACACCCATTATGTTTTCAGGTAACAGGAGGAAAAATGTGGCACAATTTTTCTTTCTC